CATTGTGTTCTCTTGTTCGGCAATCAAGGATGATATGACCCATCCTTTTACAATACACACAGAAATTGCGGCGGCGGCAGTGCTTTTGCACGTGCCCTTTTTCTCGACAATAATGGCACTCGAGATCTGTAACCGGAACACGTCGATGAAATTGAGGTCGATCGACAACGTAAATGTAAGCTTCACGACCCATTCCTTGTCCCATAGCCGAAGTAACTAAGGATTCACCTTCTCCGAGGCGCAAATCAATGACCGCCTGCGTCCGTAGACGCGTCTCTTCCCTTGTGAGAGTGCCCAGCACTCCATCGAATTGTAAAATGTCCCGATTCAGTAACGTCACGCGGACGGACTCAAATTCTGGGTGCAATTTCATAAGAAAGTTTAGAAGTTGGGTTTGCATCCTCTCCGCGATAGCATCTTCGGTGAGGACAGCTTGCGGCTGGAGTTTGGCATGGAGGAGGTCTTGCTCCGTCTACAATTCCTGTGCGGCATTGAAGTACTCAGAGACCGTGCGATCTCCCTGTTCCAGACGAGTCAATGCTAGCTGTATCTCGAATTGATGGGCAGCATTGGCGGTGGAATACATGACTAAAAGATGTCTCCACATACGATTTGTGGTTGGATAGAGATGTTGACCGAGACAGGCGGAAGGATCAACCAATTGAGTCAACCATGATCGAACGCGTACATCGTTTTGATTCCAGGCGACGACAGCTGGAGATGTGGGATTTCCGTCTAGCTTTGGCAGCGTTCCATCGAGTATATTCAGCAGCCCCTTCCCTTCGACAAATACCCGAAATTGAAATTCCCAAAGAGCATAATTGGCTCTGATACCATGTCAAGAACCAGTTGATCCCAATAACTCGAGTTGTTGGGAGAGGTTCAATCGTGGATCATATACCGTTTGCTAACACAAATGAGTGATTTTCCATTGTAGACCGAAAGGAAGGAAATTACATGGCTCAAAGGGGCTGACTAGGGGGTATGACACACCAATATAGTCAATTTGGTCGTGGGCTATTCCTATGCCTCCATTATCTTAGCCAATGACAACGTGAATGCTACACATCATGAAAGAGGGATCTATCGCAGAAGAAAGAAACGAGCAGACTCAAATCTCACATGGCTATCTATATGCTCTATCTCTCATTCTGATTCCCTGAACTAGATGCATAAATTACTATCAAGAGCAAGCGATCAATCCAAGTCACAGTTGGTAAGCAAACAGTTGAAAAACTGAACCCCTACACAACTCTACTGCACGTCTCAGTCATCATTATAGGTTGTCCTAGTCACAATCAGTTGTCATGCATCAATTCGAAAGCCATTCGATTCACCAATCAAACCCACAGTGTCAATATGATCATGCAAACATCAGTACTTGGAGCCCTCAAATCTCGAGATTTGGACAGCAGACTAGGCTCCAAGCACACAAACTCATATAACAGTCAACAATAGATAAACACCCCCCCCCCACACACACACTTAAGTACGACATTTCCCTCAATGGAGCAGAGGGAAATATAAGGGGAAACGATGTTACCGACAATACGGACTGTCGGGGGACTGGAAATCGGACTAGTCAGCAGGGCTAGATTCATCAAAACACACTGCGTGATAGAAACCATAGTTCCAAGTGGACAAACCGAAAAACAAACGAAAGGAAAACAAACCTTGGTGGGGTTGCCTCCCCACAAGCGCTTATTTCACGTCGTGAGCCGAACGGTAGCTCCTAAGTTTCCGTCCATGCTAGAACCTCTTTGAAGTTGAGGTTCTCATCTATGAGGTGGAGTCTCAAGTCACAAGCAGGTGGTGTGGCAGGTGATGAAGGCTCGTGCACTTGATGCAGCTGAAGTCTCCACCCTCGAGACCTCTTCTTCGTTTCTTCTCTTATCTCATTGCTCCAAACCAAATATAACCGTATCGACTGACCACCATCGCATTGCGTCCACCAAGAGGGACCGATGTCGATGTGGCCTTGGTCTAGCAAAGAGCCACTGCAAATGGGTCCTTGCCAAGCAGCTCCTCGAAGTTTTATGGAGATATCACATGTAACTCATGGCCGGTGCAAGCCTCTTCCACCTCAACTTTATCCTCAGCCTGGACACCACTCGCTTCTTCAACCCCCCTTCCTTCTTCAAAATGTGGTCTCTCTCCTTGGAAAAGATCAAGAACTACCTCTTCTTTTCTTTCTTCCTCATCCTCCACAACTTCTTTCCTCACCCTTTCTCTCTCTTCTTCTTCCATAACGGATTGGAGAGCAAGTCGCCATGCAAGGTTCTCAATAAGGTCAGCTTTCATCTCCTCGCTCGAGCCCAGCATGTCAGAGCAGAAATGGGGAAAGTTGTGATCTACCACCAGAGGATACACTTGATCATGATTATCATGGGAGCTTTCCGTGACAACTTTTGTATGTTCCTCAACATCCTCATGATTTCCTTCTTCTTCCTCCTCCTCTACTTGTATGGCAGCATAAGGGTTGTCTTGAGAAAACTGTGAACAAGCTTTCTCAATGACCTCTATGTGCTTCTTTATGCTCCGAAGGGTATCCTCTGTTTCACGGGGAAAGGAGAAGTCTGTTTGGGCAATGGCCTGGATATGAGGATCCATCTCAGGAAAGCATCTCTCAGGTACTCGAGCAATCTGCTCCACGAGAAGCCTCAAGTGATAGTTTGGATCTGGCTGTGGAGTATAGCATGGCTCTACCGGATGGCCCGTGAGGGCTGTCGCTAAATCAAGATATGATGGCCCTTCTGGTTGTGGGAGGAATTCTTCTTGATAAGGAGGTTGTTCTTGATATGCCCAGGGTTCTGATTGTTCTCCGTAGTAAGGGGGTTGGTACTGGAACCCGAATCCATAGTCTTCTCCTCCTTGATTGCTCCAGGAAGTCTTGGGGTAATACCACTCAGATGGTGGTGGATACCCCCACTGGTTGGAGAAGCCATTAGGATCCATGATTCAGGTATGCACCAACAAAAACACCCAAGTGAAAAACAAGGGTGGAAAAAAAACGCTAAAGTAAGAAACTTCTGCATTTCCTAATAATCTAGAAAGTCCCCGGCAACGGCGCCAAAAACTTGACACGCTACGACATAGCACCTAACAATGTCCAAGTGTAACCAATGAAAGTGACTGTAGTATAGTGCCACAAGTAATAAATATCGAATCCACCGGTCTCTAGAGTTACTATTACTTAGCTTCAGTTCATTATCTAGCAAACTAGATTAAGGATTGAATTACTAAACTACTCTACTAACTACAAGTTGGAAACTCACTTATGTATGATTCCCCCTAGCTCCTCAATTAGGTCCAAGTTGCAATTACCTTTGGTTGATCTACTGTTAATTAAACTGCGGAAGATCCTAAATTAGCTTGGAATCTCTTAAGCTGACCAAGCCTCTTAGACAGAAAAACCGGCAGGCGACTAGTCTTCACCAGGATAGACTACTAAGGCGATTCACACAGATCTCTACTACTGGAATGAATTCCAGTTCAAAGCAGTGAATTGATTGACTCCCGCGCAACCAATTCACCACTATCAATCAAGGAAGCTCTCTTAACCTAATTAGATTCTATCTATCATAGGTTAAAGCAGAAATCAAGAGAATTTGATCAAGATTCAATTGACTCAATAAATCATGCGTCAATCAATCATAATCAAACAATATAGAATCCAAAACTTCATACAAGAAAGATCCTAACACATGGAACTAGGGTTCCTCAAACCTAAGTGAAGGGAAGTTACTCCATAAAGAAGAGAGAGACTGCAGAAATCTTATCTAGATCTTCAATCTCCATCTCCAAGCTTGATTCCCGGGCTCCATTTGCAAATAAATCATCCAAAATAGCTCCAAGAATGTTCCCAAGTTGCTCTCTCTCTCTAGGTTTCGTTCCTTGGGTGTTTTGGAACCAAAACCCAGCTCCTTGAATCTGCCTAAAAAACCCGATTCTAGGCAAAACACGGCCGAGGACACAGCCGTGTTTTACTTTTGCCCGCCCGTATTTTGCCCCCAGCAGCCCTCACGGAACGCTCTCTGCAGTAAAAACACTAGCGGGGGCCAGATAAAACACGGCCGTGTTTTTAGGGTAGTCTGCCCGTGTTTTTACTGCCGAACATGTTCCCCTATATTCAATGCTTCGTTTCTCCCTCGTCCGGACTCCGAATCAGTCGCCGTTTGATCCCAGACACTCGTAGTCTCGTCCTCTTTATTTTCATGAAAATCTTGCATGATTATTTGTCACAAAATGAGGTATAAATCCATTCTTCTTCAGGTCATGCCCGAGTTTCTTCTCCCGAATCGCCAATTGATATCCGATTGACTTGAAACTTGCGCCTATGCCTTTCTTTACTCACTAGGACCTGAAATGTGACAAAGGAACACAACCTAGCGTAAAATAGGGAAAAAATGCATGACTAGGAGTCGCAAACGGATAAGAAATAAGGGTGCAAACACGTGCAAATACATCGTTGTCATTAGGGCTTACCAACTCTAAACTCTCCATGTGAGAAAACAATGTCGAACTTGGGACGATGCAGTGTCAACTGGGATAAGTCTGGCAACTTGGTGCGAAGCACGTACCTAACCAGGATGAAGTCCTTGACGTTAGGGCTTACCGACTTGAACCTTTCCGCACGATAAATGATGACCTCACCAGAGATAGTGCGTCCTTGTCTGACTAGGGGTTAAGACCCGTTGTTAACCTCCGAATGGAGTAGGGAAGCCTGAATGCGACAAGACAGCCTGAACCCGTTGTCAACACAAAGGAGCGCAGAGCTCGTCTCTCCATAAACGGTAGAAAGATAAATAAGAGAGAGACACTTCACCCTTGTGTGTGTGTGTGTGTGTGGGGGGGGGGGTGAAATGGTGAAGAGTGTGATTGATGAAAATGGTGAGGGGAGACCCTTATTTATAGGAAAAGTGTACCATCCCTTACTTGGTGACCAAGTAAGGGAGTTCACCTTAACATCTCGACTTCACATCTTCATGTTCTAACATCCTATAGGGCTTACCAACTTGATTGACAAGCATTAAGAAGGCATATGAACCAGTATCAAGCCATCCAATTCAAGTGGGAAGCGCTTTAGCTTATCTTGTTATCCTATGCGTGTAGGATGTGAAGGAGTGAGAAGCAACAGTAAGTTGGGAGTACCTGTTTAGGATGTGAACTTGCCCCGTATGACAAGTAATTCAGGGAGTGGCAGCCTATATCAGTGTGGGGACTTAGGATGTCAACCTGGGATGTCATCCAGGTCTAAGGTTTACAACCATTGCAGAATATGAAGCCACTATGAATTATCCTATATGTTATGTTTTCATGAAGTGAACCAGGTTAGACTAATAAGCGTGAAGAAATGTCAAGAGATAGGGAGAATTACCTGTCAAATTGGAAGGCTCCGATTCAAGACTTGTGAAGCAAGAAAGATAGAAAATTAGAAGGAATTATCAAGAAAGTCAGAAAATATTCCGGACTTCTGCTTGCAAAAAACATATCAAAATGAATTCAGGTGAAGTAGAAAAGTGGACCAGGGTAGTTGACATGTAGCTCTCTCCTTTTGTTTTGGATCAAGTCTCTTTCTTCACATTTAGCTCTAGCTCTCTGGGTTTCTCCTCCCGACGACTTCCTAAAAAAATCTTCGATGATGTTGTCCATGATTCAGCTTTTTCATTTGGCTTGGTGATTTTATGGGCCAGATGGGCATGTCCTGTGATAGACCGTTAATTACACATGTTTTTACCCCTGTTCTTACACCGTTTGAGATGTGATTTCTCGTGTTTTAGGCCGATTTCACGCTAGGTTGTGCTTGTTTGTGATATTTCAGGTCCTAGTACGTGAATGGAGGCTTGGGAGCGAGTTTGGGGTCGATTGGACGAAGATCGGGCGCGGGGCAAGTCAAAAAGGAGGCCACACGGGCACACCCACAACTCACACGGCCGTGCAACTCATATTTGTGGCCGTGTGAGATTGTGCGAGATAAAACACGGCTTGCCCTGATATCCACACGGCCGTGTGAAGGAGTGGTCTGGCCGTGTGAGATTGTGCGAGAGCAAACACGGGCAGATGGAATTCCCACACGGCCGTGCGACCCTGGCCGTGTGAGAAGCCTGAAGATCGAACTAATTGGAACGCAGCGTTTTGACTCACACGGGCAACTGGGTATGCCACACGGCCGTGTGCCCCTGCCCGTGTGAGTCGGGAATTCCTGGTTTTAACCCAATTCCGGCCTGCAAGAGAGAGAATCGGACTTTTTGAGCAAAAACAGAGCCCTAGAGAGAGAAAGGACGAAGAACACACCCTAGAAGCTATCTTGGAGCTGGGTTTCATCAAATCAAACTTGGAGATCGTCATAGGAGTGGAAATCATCATCCCAGAGCAGATTCTTCCCATAATTATGAGTATGACTGCTTTGTATCTTGTTTTCCTCTCTCTCTCTATGGAGTAGAACCTCTCTCTCACTTGGGGATGAAGAACCCTAGTTCTATGTGTTAGGGATTGATTGTAATGACTTGGGATGATATTATTGTTTGATTTTAATCGAATGATGCATGTTTATTGAGTCAATTGAAGTCTGATCAACTTTTCCTGATTCCTGTTGCAATCTGAGATAGATAGAATCTGATTAGGTTGCCAGAGTCTCATCATTCGGTAGTAGGATATTGGCTATACGAGAGTTAGCCAGTTTACTGCTTTGTACTAGAATCCAATTCCAGTAGTGGAGTTCTGTTCTTATTGCTTCAGCTTTCTATCCCGGTGAAGACTAGTCGTCTGCCGGGTAGTTAGACTGAGAGGGCTTGGTCAGCTTAAGAGATTCCAAGCTACTGTCGGATCTTCCGCAGTCTAATCAACAGTAAATCAACCCAGGGAAATACAATTGAAGCCTAACTAAGGAGCTAGGGGGGCTCATTCCCGAGTGACTCTTACCTGCTTGAGAAAACCGTATAAATTCCTGCTTTCTTTCTGCTTTTGCTTTTAAACAACAATCACTTACTTTAGTTGGCTAGATAATAGAGAATCACGGAGTAAGCAGTAGATCTAGACCCCGGGTTGATAATATTACTCGTCACTTTACTGCATTCCCGGTCTGCGATTATACTTGGTCGCAGATTGGTGTTGTGTTTTGGCGTGTCAAGTTTTTGGCGCCGTTGCCGGGGACCCTCTAGGTTATTGGGGAAACGTGAGAATTTGTTACTCTAGCTTTTTATTTACTGCATTTCATCTCTTCCACCTGTGTGCCTTCACGGGTTGTTTCTGCTGATTGTGTGCAGGTAGTGCATGACCCGTAGCCAGTCGGGAGATCTACTACCACTAGACCAGGAGCTTGAACGAACCTGCAGAAACTTCAAGCGGGCTCTAAAGGCGCGACTGGCTGCGGAGGAGGCGCTATCACAGCTGCAGTTAGAGGAAGAAGAAGAAGAGATGGCTGATCCAGGGAACCATGATGTGATCCCTGAGGAGCAAACCATGGGATCCTACTGGACCGCTAGAGTTGCGGACATGAGGTCACCCATTCAACATCCTCATGTCCTAGCCAACAATTTTGAGGTGAGCGCCTCAGTAATCACCATGCTGCGCGGTTCAGTGGTGTTCCGTGGTAAGGAGGGGGAGTGCCCCCGATCACATCTCAGGCGATTCCACGAGCTCATCGATGGAATCAAGATCAATGGGGTCCCCGCAGATGCCATCCAGTTGAGGTACTTCCCATTCACCCTGGAGGGGCAGGCCAAGGAGTGGCTAGACACTCGACCTCCGGGCTCCATCACCACGTTCGCCAACTTGGCGGACAAGTTCCTCACCCGCTACCATCCTCCGTCGAAGACGGCGGACTTGCAGAAGCAGATCACCCACATCACCCAGGATGAAGATTAGACCATCCGGGATGCTTGGGAGAGATACAACAGTCTCATCCTGAGGTGTCCCAATCATGGTTTCAATGATGCTTTCAAGGTGGGAACCTTCTATCATGCCCTCTTCCCGGAGGACAAGCAGCTGATTGATTCGGTCTGTGGTGGGAACATGCTGACCAAAACACCGCCACAGCTGAATCAACTCTTTGAGGAGATGGCGGAGAACGGGTACGATTGGGCCACTGCCAGGAGATCGAGACGAGCACCAGGACGGGGTGTGCATGCTGTGGGCACCCAGTCATCTGATTTGGTACAGGTGGTATCGAAGCTGGTGTCAGCTATCGATCGTTCTGGTTTGATTGCAGGTACAGGATAGCCGCAGGCGATGCTCTGCCAGTGGTGCGAGAGCACCCATCACACTGTGGAAGACTGCCAAGCGATGGAGGAATCGACAACACCCCAGGATCAGCTGAACTTCATCAACAATGTTAGGCGCAACGACCCCTACAGCAATACTTACAACGAGGGGTGGCGCCAGCATCCCAACTTCTCATGGGGTGGGGCAAATTCCAGACCACCAGTCCCCCAGGGACCACCGGGCTTCCAGAGGCCACCATATCAGCCCAGACAGGGGCAATTCCAGCAGCAGCAGTCTCTCTACCAGCCCATGCAGGGGCATGCTGCTCCATCACAGCCGCGACCTTTCCAGCAGCCAGGTGCAGCCCCTGCCGCCCCAGTGCAGAATGATCAGATGGCTGAACTGCGGGAATTGGTGGGTTCTCTCGCCAGTTCTAGTGCTCAAAAATCTAACACTATCGAGCAGTTCATGGAAAAGGCATCGGGTAAATTCCTGGCTCTTAAAGCTGGCCAGAGGAACACACAGGCTGTCTTGCAGGATATCCAAACCCAGCTGGGGAGTGTGGCTCAAGCAGTGGCACAAAGGGCTCCTGGTACCTTGCCCGGTCAGACCATCCCTCACCCTCAGAATCCGAATGAGCACTGGAATGCCATCATAACCAGAAGTGGCAAGATGACTATTGATCCACCTGCTCGGGCACAAGAGAGAGAGGCCCCTGCCTTGGCATCTCCAGCAGCTGAAGAAGAAGTAGAGAAGGAGGTTGAGGTGCTTGCACCTAAACCGCAACCAGTAGTGAAGGAGTATATCCCTAAACTCCCCTTCCCTACTCGGTTGCACAAAGACAGGCTGGAGGCAGAGTTCGAGAACTTCATGGCCATGCTTAGGAAGCCGAATTTCCAAGTGCCTTTCCTGGAGGCACTATCTCAAATGCCTAAGTATGCGAAGTTCCTGAAGGATCTTCTCTCAAAGACGCAGAAGCTGAGCGAGCTGGCCACTGTGGAGCTCAGCGAGGAGTGCTCGGCCATTCTGCAGAACAAGCTTCCGCAGAAACAGAAGGACCCTGGTAGTTTTACTATCCCGTGCTCTATAGAGAATTTGCATGTAGAGAGGTCATTGGCGGATTTAGGTGCTAGTATAAATGTTATGCCATATAAACTGTTTAAGAAACTAGGCCTAGGTGAACCCCGTGCTACAAGGATGAGCCTTCAATTAGCATACCGATCTGAAGTGCATCCTAGGGGCATAGTGGAAGACCTTCTGGTTAAGGTTGGCAAATTCAATTATCCTGTTGATTTTGTGATTTTGGACATAAATGAGGATGTGAATGTGCCATTGATACTGGGAAGGCCTTTCCTGGCCACCGCCAAGGCCCTCATAGATGTGCATGATGGGACCTTAGTTTTGAGGGATGGTGAGGAGCGAATAGCGTTTTCAATTTCTAATACTCGTCCTGCTTCGTCACCTTTGCATGTTGTATCTCACCAGGAGCACGAGTCTGTCGTGTATCCTCCTGTGATGCCTATTTTGCAGGATCCGCCTCCCATACCTTTGCCGCCACTCCCGTCCACTCCGTCATCGAAGGAACAAATCAGGGAGGAGTGGCGGCCGAAACAGCAGGCAGCTAAGCCTGCTCGAAAGAAAGGCGAAGACCACTATGAGCTGGTCCCGCCCCCACCTTGGCCATCCGAGTATTCACTCGCTTGCATCCTGCCGGATGGCCAAGTTGAATTGGCAAATGCTGGTGGCCACATTCGGCGTGTGCATGGCCATCATTTGAAGTTGTACCTCAAGAGCGAGGTGGATCCGCTCTTGAAGGCACCTGCTCCTTCACCTCACTGAGCATCCACCGACTGGCGTCCAGCTAAAAGACGGTAAAAAAGCGCTTGTGGGGAGGCAACCCCACCTAGGTTTGCATTTTCTTACCTTTTTCCTTTTGATTTTTTGTGTTTTTTGAGTCTTGAGGGGTTGTTCACAAGTTGTATGTCGTTCTGGAGTGAAAACAGGTCATTTTCGGAGTTCTGGCAGCTCACACGGCCAGCCCTGAATGTCACACGGCCGTGTGGAAAATAATTTTGGCCGTGTGAGCTCTCGCAGAATTCCACACGGCCAGATGAGATGTTGGCACGGCCGCGTGGAAATTTGCCCTGGCCGTGTTTGCTCTCGCATATTTTGGCACGGCCAAATGAGCACTCGGCACGGCCGAGTGAAGTTTCCTCGGCCGACACGGGCAAAAGCGCTCGTGACACGGCCGTGCGAGTCAGGCCGTGTGGCCGAGACACGGCCTATTTATTCGGCCAACACGGCCGAGTCATCAGAAAATTTCAAAATCCTCGCCGGAAAACCGCGACAAAACCCCACTTTTCGATTTTTTCGGCCATTTTTTGTCATCTTTCCACCAAACCAACAACAAACCCACCCTTCCTACACCAAAAGCGGCCTATCCCTCCATTTTGAGTAGATTTGGACGACGTTTTTGTCGCCGGAGGCGATTTCCGATGAGACTCCGGCTAGGCTCCGACGAGCACTTCCGGGCACTTTTTCGGCTTTTCGTCGCTTCCATCGCCTTCCCCTCATCATCCCCTACACCTCTACTTGAGTCTCCAGGTTTGATTTTGCCCTTAACTATGTTAATTGTGGAGAATTGGGTGTTAGGGTGCATGTTTAGAGAACCTCATTGAATCTTGTGATTTTTGTGCAATTGATTGAGGGGAATGCATGGAGTGTGTTTGAATTGTGTTGGGCAAAGTCCCTCTTGGTTGTTTGAGCCCTTGTGTGCAAGAATTGTGCCAATTTCATACTTACCTTAATAGTGCACACAAGGTGTTCGATGAAATGCCTGTTTTCGTACCATTTTTTGGGGGTCGGTTGGGGCCCTTAATGATGTGCTTTGAGGGTGTATTTGGTATGGATGTGAACCTTAAGTTGCCTACTTTAGCGTGAATGTGCACCCTCCACTCGGATTATGCTTTATTTATCGAGTTTCTGACCCCCGAACTATGGATGAAACCATGGTTAGGCTGTTTTCTGTTCTTAAGTGTGGGGGTGTGATTAACATTTTCCTTGGCTGTTTTGGTTCCACTTTGGGCTGTTCTTTTGCAGGACCATGTCGAAGCCCAACCTCCGGCACCAATTTGTTCAGGATTTGAGAAGGGGGCCCCACCGAGATCGTTTTCAGAACGTCCTGGCCTGCAAGTTTGGGCAGCATCATTACTGGTCCAAGCGCGAGTTGGAGAAGATCAACTGCTACGAGCACCTCTCCCCCGTTGTCACCAACAAATACTGGCGCCGCCTATTGAGCATTCGCGCGAAAGTTTACCATGAGCTCGTGCTTGAGTTCTACACTACCTTCAAGCACGCAGCCACGGACGATTGGAAGGACGAAGCTGCAGTCCAGTTCCGACTCGGCGGTGAACCACGCTCCATGAGCTACGACGAGCTGGCGGACGCCCTCGGCCTCAATCTGGTCAATGACAGGGACTACATCACAGAGATCGCCGAGCCAGACAGGGTGGACTTCGGGAGGCTGTACTTCAGCCTCGCTTGGCCACGTCAGCTTCCCTTCAAGGCGGGGAAGACGAAGGCCAGCACATTGCAGCTTGAAAACCGTCTCCTCCATCACCTGCTGACCAAGTCTTACACCCCAGCCTCAGACAGTGCCAGCGCCATCACCAAGAGATCCCTGTACTTCATCCAGTCCATGCGCCAGAGGGATAATCCCCTACACTTGGGCTCGGTGGTGGCGCGGACCTTCGAGAAGAGTGCTTCTGAGCTGAAGAAACTCCACTGCTGCCGAGGGTAGGGGAGCCCGAGGACATGGATGACACTGTTGCCGGCCGCCCCACCACCTTCGAGTACGGGGGTGGCAGCTCCAGTTTCCCGGGGCAGGATTACTTCACCTCCCAGTTCGAGCAGCTGCGTCTCCAGAACCAGCAGATCCTCGACCATCAGATGCAGTTCCAGCAGCAGTACGCGGCTCACCAGGCCGAGTACCACCAGAGGATGGCTGGTTACGATGAGAGATTGGACCAGCTACAGACCCAACAGGGAGTGACTCTCGCACACATCGAGCGGGAGAGGCGGCGCTCTCGGCGCATGCAGGAGTTCCAGCAGCATCTGCTCCAGCTGCTACCGGGCGAGCAGCCAGTCTGGAGGACTCCCTGGGAGGACTCTCCACTTCCACCTCCTCCAGCGAATGGTGATGATGGTGCTGATGGTGGTGACGCCTTCATGAACGACATCGTCTTCGATCTGGACAACCTCGGCGACGAGTAGGCTGTACTCGTTGCCCCTCTCAGTGTGTTTTTTTTTTTTCGTTTTAGACTTGTGTGTGTTTGCTCCATGTGTGAGGAGCTTGAACTTAGTGTCGTTTGTTTTTGTTTTTGTTTGTTTCTTTTGTGGATTGTTTTTGCTGTAGCCGTCTGGGCTAACACTTATCCCTAACACAACATGTGCTAGTGTGTTCTTGGTGTTCGATTCGTGCATAACTGTCCATCTTCCCGTTTGTTTCTCGCTGACTGGTCCACTTCCAGTCCCCCAGCAGCTTCAATCCGGTAACATCGTTCCCCTTCCCTATCCCTCTGCTCCATTGAGGGCAATGTCGTGCTTAAGTGTGGGGGGGTGCTTTGTATCGGTTGGAATGTATATATGTGTGCCTGGAGCCTAGTCCACTGTCCAAATCTCGAGATTTGAGGGCTCCAAGTACAGTTGTTTGATCATATTGGCACTGTGTTTTGATTGATGAATTGAATGGTTTTCGGATTGATGCATGATAGCTTGATTGTGACTAGGACAACCTATGATGAGGACTAAGACGTGCAGTAGAATTGTGTAGGGGTTCAGTTTTTCAACTGTTTGCTTACCAACTGTGACTTGGATTGATTACTTGTTCTTGACAGTCTTTTATGCATCTAGTTCAGGGTATCAGAATGTGAGATAGAGCATATAGGTAGCCATGTGAGATTTGAGCCTGCTCGTTTCTTTCTTGTGCGATAGATCCCTCTTCCATGATGTGTAGCATTCACGTTGTCACTAGCTAAGATGATGGGGGCATAGGATTAGCCCACGACCAAATTTGACTGTCCTGATGTATCATATCCCCTAGTCAACCCTTTTGAGTCGTGTGTTATCCTTTCTTTTGGTCTGAAATGAAAAAAATCACCATGTTTGCATCTTTTAGAAGGTTCCACAGAGTGGGTTTTACATGTTCTCTGCTGTTTCTGCTAAATTTAATGTGAGTGTTGGAGGTAGTGCTTAAAAGTTGGGTTGGGCAGGTGTTTGAAATATATGCGGAAGTGGTGGCTCTCTTAAGAAATGAAAAGAAAATGAAAGAAAAACAAAGAAAAATTGAAAGCAAAGAGAGCCACTACCAAAAATCTGAATAATGCCCAGTAAGTAGTGTTTCTTAGCAGTCTGGCTTGGAAATGCTGACATTTATACCTCCTTCGTTCTTGTGCTCTTGAGATATTGAGTAATGCAGAATAGCAGAAAGGAAATACCGGTTTGTTTGACTGTGATTGTTTGGGTTTGGAAATGTGGAACCTTGTGCTATGAATACTTCCACCACCTAAAAGGCCTTTTCCCCATGTCCAAGACCCTAGCCAGTCATTTGAACCTGTGTCTAAGACCTCCTGATTAGTTAGTGGTGACACCCCATATGTGAACTCTAGCGTTTAGAGGCTGCCATCATGGTGAAGAGATGTTAGGGATTGAGAGAAATAACTTGCGCAATTTTCGCATCAAATTGTCCTGACCCCACTGGTCGAGAGTGAGTGATTCATTTTTCATATTCTATATACTCTTGTACCCCGAGGACCTAGATTGCTCGGTCTCTATTCTGATGTCTTGAGTTGGATGCATGAGTTGACTGTTTTGAGTAAGTGGTTGAGTCAAGTCTAGGTTGGTTGGTGAACAGAAGGGAGACTCTTCCTTTACTCGATTTTTCTGCACTCGAATGTCCTTTGTGGTGGTTGTCCAGGTTGCTATTGAAGTTGGTCATGTATTGATGTTTGAAAACCAGTACGATTCACGTGTTCTGTGCCTTTATGACTTGTCCCTAATGTTGGTTGATTGAAATATGTGAGCTTACCTTGTGTCTGACTTGGTTTGCTTGGGGACAAGCAAACGGTTAAGTGTGGGGGAGTTTGATAGACCGTTAATTACTCATGTTTTTACCCCTGTTCTTACACCGTTTGAGATGTGATTTCTCATGTTTTATGCCGATTTCACGCTAGGTTGTGCTTGTTTGTGATATTTCAGGTCCTAGAACGTGAATGGAGGCTTGGGAGCGAGTTTGGGGTCGATTGGACGAAGATCGGGCGCGGGGCAAGTCAAAAAGGAGGCCACACGGGCACACCCACAACTCACACGGCCGTGCAACTCATATTTGTGGCCGTGTGAGATTGTGCGAGAGCAAACACGGCTTGCCCTGATATCCACACGGCCGTGTGAAGGAGTGGTCTGGCCATGTGAGATTGTGCGAGAGCAAACACGGGCAGATGGAATTCCCACACGGCCGTGCGACCCTGGCCGTGTGAGAAGCCTGAAGATTGAACTAATTGGAACGCAGCGTTTTGACTCACACGGGCAACTGGGTATGCCACACGGCCATGTGGCCCCGCCCGTGTGAGTCGGGAATTCCTGGTTTTAACCCAATTCCGGGCTGCAAGAGAGAGAATCGGACTTTTTGAGCAAAAACAGAGCCCTAGAGAGAGAAAGGACGAAGAACACACCCTAGAAGCTATCTTGGAGCTGGGTTTCATCAAATCAAGCTTGGAGATCGTCATAGGAGTGGAAATCATCATCCCAGAGCATATTCTTCCCATAATTATGAGTATGACTGCTTTGTATCTTGTTTTCCTCTCTCTCTCTATGGAGTAGAACCTCTCTCTCACTTGGGGATGAAGAACCCTAGTTCTATGTGTTAGGGATTGATTGTAATGACTTGGGATGATATTATTATTTGATTTTAATTGAATGATGCATGTTTATTGAGTCAATTGAAGTCTGATCAACTTTTCCTGATTCCTGCTGCAATCTGAGATAGATAGAATCTGATTAGGTTGCCAGAGTCTCATCATTCGGTAGTAGGAGATTGGCTATACGAGAGTTAGCCAGTTTACTGCTTTGTACTGGAATCCAATTCCAGTAGTGGAGTTCTGTTCTTACTGCTTCAGCTTTCTATCCCGGTGAAGACTAGTCGTCTGCCGGGTAGTTAGACTGAGAGGGCTTGGTCAGCTTAAGAGATTCCAAGCTACTGTCGGATCTTCCACAGTCTAATCAACAGTAAATCAACCCATGGAAATACAACTGAAGCCTAACTAAGGAGCTAGGGGGGCTCATTCCCGAGTGACTCTTACCTGCTTGAGAAAACCGTATAAATTCCTGCTTTCTTTCTGCTTTTGCTTTTAAACAACAATCACTTACTTTAGTTGGCTAGATAATAGAGAATCACGGAGTAAGCAGTAGATCTAGACCCCCGGTTGATAATATTACTTGTCACTTTACTGCATTCCCAGTCTGCGATTATACTTGGTCGCAGATTGGTGTTGTGTTTTGGCGTGTCATCCTGCTAGTAGTTGGATATTAACATTATGGGGTGTTGGATCCCTATGTCGTGGAGCTATTAGCTACGAGAGATGACCTCTTAGTCGAAGTCTTTCTCAAGTTATCCACGAAGGTGATTCTGAGGATGGTGATTAGACAACTCTGTTTAGGTGTGATAGTGGATTCACTAGGAGAGCCCTTTCTCCGAGAGTGTTGCCATCTCATATCATTTTCTCCTTTTTGTGTTGTCTTTAGAAAGGTTCCGCGAACCGCAAATGAGTTTTCCATAGAGTGGCGCGAAAATCCTTGTTACTATCTATTTTAGAGTTAGTTTCTTTGATTTTGTAGCTCAATTTCCTACACAATTAGGTCTAAATTTATTGTTCTGTAAGATTGTAACTAGGGGCGTGCAACGGTCAGGACCGGTCCAGACTAGACCAAAGTCATGGGAACATCAATGCAATTGTGAAAAATATCTTAGGACTCGACAATCATTGCATTCAGTCTGATTTGGTCTGATATAAATGTCAATTCATATTATTTTTCTTTGATATATATAAAGTTTATTGGTTCAACGGTTGGACTGCATTTATATTCGGTTCGGTATGGTCCAATCTAAAAGTGAGTTTGCTCCAATGCGATCTGAACGGACCAACCGTTTCATACCATTATCTATAACCTCTATAAATAGAGGGGCTAGGCCTACAAACTTCACATCTCATTCTCTACCCTCTAGGGCTTATGAACAATTTAATCGATCAGACTATCTCCACATTTGAGGTAATTGTGATCAAATCATTCGTTTAGTTCAAACAATTTAGTTGATTTTCGTGGGTGACAGAAGTTTGTCATCAATGTTGTCAGTCACAATGATGTTTCATTTTTTATGTCGAGCTAGACACCCCTTGTTGTTTAAGGGTGAATCCTAGTTATGTCTGTACTATGTTTAAGGATGGATCCTAGCATGGGCACTACGAAAGACTCACTACCAACCTAACCCACCCCATAAACCTACGATGCTATAATGCATCAAATACTCACTCATTATATGCAGTATTGCTATACTAAGAATTCAACATGCAAATTAAAACATTATACGAACCTAATATATCATGAAATAAAAAAAACAATCATTTCCATACGAATTTACAACATCCAATCCTAAAATATTCATGAATCCATATATAAGAGAAAGTAGAGGAAGCAAATATGAAATTTTTACATAAGGAAGAGGGTGCAAATTGACGAACATAGTATTGTGGTTTGAAATATTGAAAGGTGAACATAGAGAAATAAATTAGGAATTGGTTTGAATAGCTATTGAATTTCATTTTACCTATTTATTTTTTTCAAACTACCCATCCTATCTTTGATAGGTTTCAACATGATTCCCATATTTTAATGTATAAAGAACTACTTTTGATGTAACGAATATGAGTATTAGTATGAGACGAAAAGTCTAAAAGCATACTTGTTTTAGATACCCACGTTGCGGGTTTGATTGTCTTCCCTATTCGATACTTGTCTGGTCCCATTTTCTTTTTCCTTCATCGTTGTAGGAGGTTTCTTGATACAACATCTACTTCAACAACATAATCATCATGTGCCTCTCTCTTACTTTAATTTGAATATGTCTTCTCTACCCTCTTTAGCTCGGTTCCATTTCTTCAGTTTCTAGGAGTTGTCGGCAGCTCATTTTGGTGATCGGTGACAGCTCAAGCCCCTCCACTACTCCTTTTTATTTCCCCCTCTATGCCCATGATTCTCCGGACTTGTTCTAGGTGATTTTCCCTCAGATTTCCAGTTTTTCTCCAGCTGTTGTGGCCTTTCAGCTTCCTTTCCATTCGAGCTTGTGCTCTTCTTTTCCAGTCGAGCTTTGGCTCTTCCAACGGTTCTTATTTTTCATGTTCTAGGCTTGCTCGCTGTAGGATCTAGAGTTAGCAATTTGGTGCCTCATCTAGATCAGGATGGTGGAGCTTTTCTCAAGTTGGTGGTCTCATCCTTTGGTGAAACCATCTCTTCTTTCCCTCTCTGACCTCCCCTGTGTGTTTGTGCTGTTGTGCGAGCAGTCGGATCATGGAGGGTAGGGTCTTTTTCGGTGGTTGCGGTTGGGAATCGATGTTTTTTGTAGAGATTTGTGGCTCCCTTGGGATCTTCTGCTTTGTTTCGAACCCAATCTCTATGCCTCGGCTTCCTCTGTCTCTGCAACTTGGAACATTCCGGTTCATATCCTCCTCCACCGCCATGCAATCTTGTTTCTAAGATTCACTGTGATGGATGCCTTTGACTTATTATATTGATGGCAATCGAATGATTACTTTGTCATAACATAACTCTAATAGCATACAATCAATTATCCCGAGGAGGCGACACCTTGTTTGATGCAGTGGCGTAGCCAAACTTTGAATGGACTGAGGTCCTTAAAAATTTCGAGTTGATTGAGGTCCTTACGTGAGGTAATCTTGCTGAAAGTATGGAGTCATATATTAAAGAATCATATGCTAAAACACATATTTAAAGGGTTTTGGAACCCAAAATTTTTCTAAGTGGGGTCCTAGGACCCTTCTCCTCAAGAGCTCCCTCCGCCACTGGTTTGATGTGATCACTAACCATGGTTTTCGATATGATTAGACATGCTGATTTCGTTCTTGTTGCATTTTAATAGGTTGGTTGCAAGAGAGATTCTTGATGATCTGTTTTCGTTCAAGGATTTGCTTCTTTGGGTGGCTGCTTTCGATCTGTTTTTGGTTCGTTGTTAGTGCATTTGCTTAACATGGTTAGATTGTAAAGAGTGCCTTGAGGCCTTCCTCTTGTTGGAACCAGAATGTTATTGTTTAATACTTTTTATATCGGATTAATATTTTCGTATGACCCGAACTTTGACCAAAATAAATATCCTGGCCAATCTTTTTGATATATAACATCCTGGCCTGAACTATACACAAAAATAATCAATTTGGCCAAATCCGACTTTTGACCGTTAACTTGGACGGTCAAACGTGTTGACTGTTAGTCAACGCGCCATGTCACTGCCAAGTCAGCATAAAATATTTAAAATAATTCACAATTTCCACACATTCCCTAATTTTAAATTATTATAAATTAAAAAAATCATCTAATACCTTAGTTAAACCAAAAATAAAAAACTAAAAAATTAAATATTTATCAGATCTTCTGACTTGGCAGTGACGTGGCGCGTTGACCGTCCAAGTTAATTGTCAAAGATCGGGTTTTGCCAAATTGTTTATTTTGGTGTATAGTTCGGGCCAGGATGTTATAGATCGAAATAGACCTGGCAAATTACAACCCGACCCGAAACCGCCCGAAAATTAGAAATTTTTGTAACCCAAAATCTGAATGACCCGAACCCGATAACCCGTAATTTTTTGGGTCGGGTTGGGTGGGTTAGCGGGTCGACCTGTTAGACCCGTTTTATTTAATCTATTATTCCCAAAATATGATAAAATCACTCATAAATTGGTGAGATGTTTAAAAAAACTCACAAGGATTTGAATGACATGTTTGGAGTTTAAGGATAATCAAATATCATGTGTTTCTTGTAGTAGTATTACTCTTGTGATTGTTTTTTGACGATTTGCGCAATTTATATTTCATTTCATTAGCGTGAGAGGATTTGAGAATATGTTAATTGACATGTGTTAGGTAAACTATTGTCATGCATATGTGAAAATTTGTGTTCTTTAAGAAAATATGAAGCATGTTTGATATTGTTTCTGAGAACGCTCATAATCCGAAATGACCTGTAACCCGACCCGAAACCGAATGGGTTGGGTCAATATTTGACCCGAAATAAGCCAACCAAACATGACCCGACCCATAACCGAAGTTCCCAACCCAAAATTACCCAACCCGACCCGAATGCCAGGTCTAGATCAAAAAGATTGATCAGGATTTTATTTTGGTCAAAGTTCAGGCCATACGAAAATATTAACCCTTTTAAATCTGATAAGTTAAATAACGATAAGGATTCCCTTTGTAAATAAACGGCATAATAACATTTTACTTTTTCTTTTTTTTTTAAGTGAATCACCTTTTACTTTTCTTCTAGTGTGCAAACTGCAAACCATGATTCTATCTAAGTAATAAGTAGGTTAAATACACTTGTATATCCAAAACTTTTACGGTTGTGCCAATAATATCCAAATTTCCCAAAATACCACTTATATCCAATTCCTTCACATTCTTTAACGGTGTTTTTGGATATACAAGTGTATTTAACCAGAAATATATTGGGAAATGGATAGATTTGGCAAAGAACAACTTTAAAACATGGATGTAAGTGATATTTCGAGAAATTTGGATATTATTGGCACAACCGTGAAAATTTTGGTTATACAAATGTATTAAACCTAGAATTTAATAAGTATCTAACTGTTATTTTTATTTTCCTTTTCTTTTACCCATTATTGTAAATTACAAAATGCTTTCTACATAGACTACAGATATTCTTTCTATACCCTACTTAAATAAAAACAAACTCCATTTATCCACTGTCTTTTCCTTTTTTACCCCTCGCCGGCCGCCACGCCGTCCTCAACAAAATTACAACTAATAAAGTTAATCAATCAAGCCGGCGAGCTAAGCGTGGGAACCGCCGCCGCCGTCGTCGCTAGGGCTGCCGCTATGATGCGTTCTCTTGCTATCCTGATTATTCTGGCTGTGCTTCCGCTTCAGTATCTCCTTAATCTCCGTTTCCTTCCTATCTACAAACTCTATCAAGTCCTTGAAGCTCGTCGTCCTCAACGACCGCCGCGGCGTCCTCGTCGCCGGCCGAATGTCCTCCGTCTCACCGTCGCCGTCTCCGCCGCCTTCGTGGGGCGCGAATCTGCTGTACTGGCCGTATACCCGGCAGGAGAAGATGAGGAGGGCGAGGAGGCAGGAGAGGCCGCAGATCAGGAAGAGCCCCCAGAAGCTGCTGAGCGAGAGGCGATTCTCGTCTACCGGGTTGAGCGAGTCGGTGCACTCGCTGTGGAGCAGCCATTTGTTGTGGATCTTCTGGAGGTCGCCGTTCTCGGAGAGTTGGAGGATCGCCGTCGAGAGGTCGACGGCCAGTGGGGAGTCTCTCTGAAACGCCTGCCGGCCGTCGCCGGAAGAGGAGCAAATTAAGGACAGATTAAAACGTCACATTTTCAATTCAAAGGGGGATAAGAACTTACAAATCCCCAGCCGCTCTTGGTGAACTCCTGCCCGACGATCCTGAACTGGCAATTGGCGCTGGATAAGAAGAGCTCAACGTAAGGAAGCTCGTCGACGATGGCGGCCACTCCGCCGGCTTTGGGTCCCTTGGCAAGTGCGGTGGAGTAATCTTCCTGGGTTTTCAGTGTGACGAGCCTGGAAGCTGCAATGTTGAGCTCATCGACTAAGTAGTTCCACGCAAACGAACCGTCTTGAACTCCAATGGGCTCGGTGCTGGCGATCAAGCTGTCGATTCCTTCGATTCTTGAAGTCAGCTGCTGGACGGTCAGGATCGACGTCAGGCTGGCCGTGTAGCTGGAATTGATGATCAGGACGACGAACAGCCATATGATCAACACCAAACGTCCCAATGTGCTCACCGTGTTCTCCCCTTTACGACAAAATTAAGAAAGTTCATTGACTAGCTTGCCATACAGCAAGAAGAGCTAAACCTGCAAGTTACCCAAGAACAAGGAAAGGAAACATAATACACAACTTAATTCATAATATGTTTGAACTCATCGTTACTTACTGTGTGAGAAGAACATGGTTGAGAAGCTAAACCTGCAAGTGGGTTCACCAAGGATTCAATAGAAAACATCAGGGCTCACAATTACAGAAGTGACACTTTGGAGATTCATATGTGGAGAACAAACTAAAAACTTACCAGAAAATGGTGATGAGCTGCTGGCTAGGAGGGCCGCGGAACTCGTGGTTGATGCGGTGCTCGAGGATCCAGACCACGGCTCCGACGAAAAGGAAGAAAGCGCCGGTGACACACCACATCTGGATGGTGAATGGCTTCATGAATGCCCAGGGGCTGGATTTGGCTTGCTTCATTGGCACCACCACTACCAGCCCTGACTCCATGTATGGCTGCGTGAAATCCACTATCTTTGTTCTGTTCGTCACTATTGTCACGTCCCCTACTGCTGCATCATATTCCTGAAGGCATGGAGGTAACCTAAATCATTATGTAAGTCAATTCATCTCATTAACTCGAGTTTATTGCGGACTTTTGCTATTTCATTTCGTATTGTTCCAAGAATTTAACAACAATAATCGGAACCGGATAACAAATACTCTATTGCTATGTAAAGGAGCTACTCAACCAAATAACTCGAGCTACAATGCAATTCACAATCAATCTTGTAACAATCTGCGAAAAGAACATAACAAAACAAAACAAAACATCAGAGAGAACCAATATAGTTAATTTCAATCACTAAAGGTTTTGAATTTGTAAAAGCTTCTCTAAGTTATGTCATTCCCCTCTCAATCAGCAGCTCCTCCAGTGGACTTGAAAATCACATATATCTCATAATTTGTGTTTTAAGTCAACTATGGAAGTCCAATTTTCACTAGGATTTGGACTTTTAAACTTATTAGTGACTGTAAAGGTCTAATTGAGAACTTAATACTCAATTTTTCATATAACCAATGTCTAAAGAAAAAGCAGACCATCTAAGAGTGAAAACTCCAAATGCAAGTTCGTACTTACGTTAAGAGCAACTGCATTGACAAGATCATTGTAGGAAGGATTTCTTTTCCCACCTCCATACAACATATAAGTCCTGGGAACAGGATATGGCAACAAGTTGATAGCAGCTTCAAACACATCAATGCAGTACCCTCTAACCCCAGGAGGGTTCTTGTCCTTCGCCACAAACGCCAAGTAACTCCTTCGATCTGGAACTGCAATCCTCAGTGGCTTCCCATTGTTAGGAAAAACCCAACCTCTTGGTGTGTCAGAGGTTTCACCAGGCCAGATGATGCTGTACAGATGCTCATCACTCTTAGAATTGGAATTCAAAGAACCATTCGCAGGCTTCCCATAGAGAGTCTCAGGAGTGACAGTGGATAGACCTGAGTGATTGGACCAGTACCCAACTCTCCTGAAAGAATTCCCTCCTATATTGAGCACATCGTAAGCAGGGTGAATAAAGTTCTTATCAGAATCAAACTGGACTTCACCACTCAAACCAATGAAGTTTGTAGACAGCAGTGTGTCAAGGTACTTCTGGCCTCCATTAAACACTCTAAGAGATGACAAATGCAATGTGCTTCCATTGACATCGCGTAATTGTGGATCGTTCGAGTAAGAAATCGTCCCATTGCTGTTTAAGAACGTCTCAAGTGCTTGTGCAGCAAGCCACACAGAGTCATAAGCATAGAGTGCATAGGAATTAAACGATGCTGGTCCTGGTTTCTTGTATTTCAGACCATCATTCCATCTTTTCATGAACTTCTTCTTGAGGTCGGTATCTGGAGTGTGGTGCCTGAACGACACAACCCCTTGGAGAAGGCTCATTGTATCGGCATCAGGTGGCACCATAGAATCCAATACAGAAGCAAGCCAGTCTGTAGTGATCCACACATACCCTTTGCTCATCATGCCAAGATTCTTGGCTTCTGAGAAAATGGAAAGCCCTGAATCAGGATTCACATGGACAATGTAGACCCTCGATTCCAATAGGTTAACCTCAACCAATCTGTCTTTGATTGTACTTTGACTCCCTCCTGGGGTGATGGCAGCCTTGTAAGAGATCTTGGCTCGCTTCTTCGCCAAGGCATCTCCTAGCACAGACACTCCACTCCTTCCATAATCATCATCAACAAATATGGCAATGACTTCCCTCCACCCAAAGTATGTGACCAGATCAGCAATTGCATACATTTGGAAGTAGTCACTCTGCGTAGTTCTAATGAAGTATGGGTATTGGAGTGCTGCTAGGGTTGGATCGGTTGCTGCAAATGAAAGTAATGGAACATGGAGTTCATTGACTACATGGGAGATCACATGAGCTATCCCTGAAGACTGTGGCCCAATTACTGCCACCACATCATTTTCCATCAGCTGCAAAGCTACAAAGCAAACAGCATGATGAAGTCACTATTCTCACATACACTTGCCCTTGTTGTTCAAAAAGTTCATTCTTGCTTACAAAACTGATGCATAAAGCGTAAGTGTGAGGGGAAACAGTAAAAATTCCCAAATCCCAGATAAAGGAAAGGGCTCATTTGTCCAGTTTCATTTGTTTTGATTTTGTAAGTAAAAAGGCTATTGTTGCTTGAGATAAGTAGTAAAAAGAGCTATGAAGAGAAAAGAAGGCGGGGATTCTGTAATATACCTTCAACAGTCCCAAGAAATCCGCTGCAATTAGTGTCATGGAAGAGAAGGTTCAACTTGGTTCCTGAGAGGATGGTGGGATCAGAATTGACATCATCAATTGCAGCTGAGATTGCTGGCCTGGCTGCTCTACCAATCACTGAATCAGAAGTGAAGAGGGCTCCTAAATTCACCGTCTTTGGCCTTGATGAAGAAGAGGCATTTCCAGCACCCAAAACTTCCATTGGCAGCAAGCAAACCCCAAGAATCAGCAGAAGCATCGGCACCTTTCTTGCCATTGGGAGAAATTAGACGGAAGACTTGAAAACGAGCTCAATTTTTGGTTTCAGACCACTATCTTCTTATTCACCCATATAATAATAGAGGCTTCCTGGAAAGGAAATGAGATGGGATGAACATGAGCAGCTAAGGAACTCAGCTGGAAAGCCTTGCAAACAAGTAATCTGCATATGTGGGTTGGGGAATACATTGCTGACACCAAACTTTTTTGCAAGAATCTACCTTTAGGGGAGTTTACAGGTGAGAGATATGAGAGCTTTCTCTAAGAGGACAAAGCAGTAAGATTTATCCCTCTCAGAATAAGAGGGAATCCCTCAAAAACCCCTCCCCCTCAACCCCAAGCAGAGAGAATCCACATCCAGCCAATACCCAAGTCTTAAAATATAAATATTGCTAGAAAGACTTGTACACAGAAAACCATCCGAAAGGATTCCATTCCACTCTGATATTTTTGTTTATTAATTATTGGACATTATTTTAGCATAAATGGGTCAAATTTCAAGGAGAGATACAACAAGAAGAAAGAACTTGTAAAAAAAAAAAGTTGTTGGAGCCAATCTCCATGGTCAACAGTTTAAGTAGACCTCTCTAGTAAAAAATAGGTGGAGAAAGGAGGAAAAGCCATACCATCTGACCCACAGACATGGAGTAAATGAGGTATAGTTAGAGAGAGAGAGAGAGAGAGAGAGAGAGAGAGAGAGAGAGAGAGAGAGAGAGAGAGACTGGGGATTACAGGAAAGTCTGTATGCTATAGTTGGGGAAGTGTAAGGTCATTATTGAAGCTTATGAGTGGCTTAAAGTCCAATCCCATCTATGGAAAGGCCAAAGGGGATGGCCCTGAGGAAGTGCCTATGCTTTGCTTTGAGTCCAGAAAGTTGTAGTGAATACTGAATAGTTAAAGCTTGAAAACAGTGTCTGCAAGCTCAAGCAAAGAATGATTCTCTGTGCTACTGCCTACTGTACCTAAAACATGTTACATGCCCTACTGTACCTAAAACATGTTGCATGTTGCTACTGGTTTTAGTCTTAGCATCTTGTAGCAAAGAGGCATTAGTTTATTTATTTATTTATTTATTTTTTTTTTTTTTTTTGACAAGAAGCAAAGAGGCATTAGTTACATGTCACTCTTACCAAGTTTTGTACAGCAAAATCGAGAGTGAAGATTGAAGAAGAAAGAATGTTACTTTATGTTTATCCCTGTGACCAACCCATCCTTTGAACTTCTTGGATAACGTCATCAGCATCAGCATAGATGAGCTGAGGACCAAATGAATTGGTGATGACTCAATTATTTGGCAAAGATGTCTGAAAATGGGATGAAGTGACAAGTGGGTCCAGGGACTCTGAAACATGTGGGCATTTGCTTGCTTCATACAAGATTACTATTCCATTGACCTATGTATGTGGCCCACATAGTAATATTGTAATATCCTAGTGGAGAATTGAGATTAGTGTCTTGTAATATGAACCAGTTGAATGTTTGACAAGGGGAAGAGCCGAAGAGGAACATTATTGTGTTCACAGAGTCAGAAACTCGGAATAAAGAATTTGAATTTGTGGAAGGGGATGAGGGTTGACATCATTAGGAGGAAACCACTAATTAATCACAAATAATAAGAATAATTAAGTAGTTAATGTGATGAACTGATGAGTAATATAGGTAATAATGTCATACGGAGTTTGGTGAGTGGCTAATTAGCAGCCAGCCAACTTGCAGAGGAAAATCACACCTGATATACTTTGTAGGGTCTCATTTTACCACAACCGTATAAGTTAATCTCACACTTTACAAAAGATGGATTTTATTCGGTGAAGACAGGATACCATCTCGCATTGGGAAATATCTTAGCGCCCAGCCAAAAATCGATGGCTTCCATAATTGATCTTCCAGTCTGGAAAAGGACGTGGGCTCTTGACGTCCCACCAAAGCTCAAATTTTTCATATGGCAATGTTTGAAAGTAATTTTGCCAACTATGGTGGCTCTTAGATCCCGGGGAATTAACTGCCAAGCTCGTTGCCCAGTTTGCTGGGATGGTCAGGAGAGTATTGAGCACCTTCTGTTCCACTGTCCTCTTGCCCTTCACCTCTGGAATATGGTGGGTCTAAGTGGCCTACTTTCTTCCGTCCCAACTGACAACTTCGGTATCTAGTGGCGATATGTTACGAATTCAGAAAACTTTCAAATCCACTATCTCCCCTGCATTTGTCTTCTTTAAAGAATTTGGAAATCTAGAAATAAAGTGGTTTTTGAATTTACTCAACCACTAGCCAGTTCTCTTGCTCGTCAGTTCTTTTTCCAAGTCCAAGAAAACTCCTCAGTCTCCCTTCAACCCCTTGCCCCTTCTCCCCACCTCCAGTCCGTCCATCTCTCCAGTTGGGTTGGTCCTGCTGAAGGCTTTCTTAAGATCAACTTCGATGCGGTTGTTCCTAATTCGGGATGTTCGTCAGGACTCGTCGCTCGAGACTCGGGTGGGCAAGTCTTTTTGACCTTGGGATTCCACCATCCAGGAGTTTCGAATCCTTATCTTGCAGAGCTATTTGCTGCAAGGGACGCCTTGCTCCTAGTGCTTTCCCACAACATCTCTCATGTTATTATTGAAGGAGACGCTGAAATGGTCATTCGGCAGATTGACGGAAGGTGCCGTGAAGACTCGGTGGGCGGACCCTTACTTCGCGATTGTTTACAGTTGTTGAGCTCTTGTTCTTCTTGTATTAGGTTTAGTTCGGTCACGAGGACTGTCAACTGGGCTGCCCATAGAGTGGCAAGACAAGCTCTGTTGTTGTCCCCTATAGAGATAGCTTCCTTTGATTTTGTAGGGTAGCTTCATTAATGGTTGTTTTGGGTAGAGAATCTAACTTTTGTATTTTACTTTTGTACTTTGATATTACTTGGAGAAGAAAAAAAAACTCTGTAGGGCCCTAGCATTAAACATCTTTGGGGGATTGTTTCATTTAATTTCTATTTTCCATTTTTGTCAAGTTTCATCCTCTTCTCTCGGAAGACACTGGATTCATTGGACCCAGTTCAATCCTAGGTTGGTCCTTGTAATTTCCCTATTCTGCAATAGGCTGCTAGATTATATCACACATGAATCATCATTAACAAACATGAGTTTAGGCTCCTATTTCATGGCAGTGACCATAAAGCTCTGACCTTTGATGCAAATGACGAAAATAATAGGTCACATGAGTCTGGAACTGATCCATGTGAAGGGATAGGTGGGTTGGTGTTCCAAAACAACACACCAGACAGAAGAAACTAAAAAGGACCAAGGAATACGTTGTTAACTGGAAATCTGTGGTGGGTATTAGCTGAGGAGAAGTAAGGAATTAGGAATCTTATTGTTTGCTGGTCATCAGGTATTTTTGACAGTGTTACAATAACAGTACTGAATTCTTTTGTGTAACATGCAAACCCTGTTAATGAAGCAAACTCCCCAAAGAGGGTATGGAGATTTCAGATCTGGTGTTTTTGGTCCTAAGAGATGCGTTGTGTTTGGACTTGGCTGGAGGGAAAACAGTCACTTTGACATAGTCAAGCTTAGAAATGTAGGAAATAAGCGTAAGGCTGGAGGTCCCATAAACCGTTATGAGAAGTTTCTTTGTCTCCTTCCAAAAGAACAGTTGCTCTCTGCTCCTTTCTACACACTTTAATTCACGATCTTATGTATTTGTCTTAATGTTGAAGTAATCAAATACCTAATCTTTGGCGGCTGTGACTGTAAATCCATGGCAGAGAGCAACAAATCACATTAAGAATGCTGCTGCCCAATTAAAGTAAGATGGCCAAGTGAAGAGTTTTGAGAGATTCTGGCTCCATAAGCTTCACCAATAACCACAAATGGATCTGTCTACAACACAGCAGTATTTGAGGCCTCTAATCAATGGTGACCTCAAAGGTTCATATTAACCTGGCATATACAAAAAAGGGTACACAATATTAAATTTTTTCTCAGAGTGAACAAAAAAGGGAAACCATTCATTCTCCTTAGCATAAAGCTATGGAGCAAGAAAGGAGAGGCCTTGAAGCCACAGAAAGGAGAGGGAAGGGAGATGGATCAGCATCAATGTTAGTTATCAGTTTGGATGTACTAGTTGATTTTTTATTATATGGGTTTTTGTCTGTCAATAAGATGGGACATATACTTCCTATCAAATGTGACCTGTTGCTTTCTGCAGGGTTAGCAGCAAAACCTAGTTTGTCTAAGTAATTGTATATGAGAAAGGAGTCCTTTCTTGCATGGTAATTGTAGGTAGTATGAACATATGAAGATATAATAGCAAAACCGTAATAGAATCTTACCAGTTTGGTCACTGGTATATAGTTCAACCAGTACAATCGACCAGTGTGGTGTCACAAACACTAAGCAGCAGAAAACAAGATATCTTGCTCCCAAAAGATTTTAGTTTAGTTTTTAGAGGGAAATGACTGTACAGAATCAGCCAAAATTGAAATTCAAATGTAGGGTAGGAGAGGTGATGGGTCTTTTGGTTTGAAACATCCTGAGATGTTGATTTGTTGAGACTGAGAGCTTTCAGATTAAACCCAAGGCCATTGGCCAGCCCCGGCATAGAAGGATCAAAGCATATTCCCCAGTAGAGGAAATCAATGATCAAAGGAAATGACAGTATGGTAATTATCAAAGGATCAAATTAATTGTTGCTGGTGTATTTTGTCCTGATACGGAGAGAACTGGCAAAACTGAAAAGTATTTACCTTGATTTTACCCCTTCCCCAGCAATGTGCAAAATTGGACACTGCTTTAAAAGTGGACCCAACAGCCATCAACTCAATGGTTAAAAAGGATACAACCTTCATTGATGGAGACAGCAAAAAACTGCAGCAATTTAGGCAAACAATCAAAATGTACCAACTGGTAAAAAAAAGCTTTGATCCTGTCAAGTTCACCTGTGCACATTATCACAACTTTGGATAGAGTTGAGTCATAAATGGATGTAGCTGCATCTTACAGTGAAATTCAGAAGCCCCACAACGAGGGTCAGCTTTTGCTCTCTTGCCCCCTACCTTTCTGTTTTGGCTTCACCAAGATTGTGACTCTCTGCAATAATAGCCACAAGAACTGCAATGCTACAAGACAGAATGTACATAAAGTTCCATTTCCATGAAAATGAGCTAGTTCTTTCGCACAAGATCACCCAAATAATGGAAATTTCTCATTTCTTTATCATTAAGAAAAATAAAATTCATTAGGTGATCTATACTTGCCAAACATACCCCATCTATTTCCTTTTGTACAATTTCTCCCTTTTTCTTACACCTCCAAGATTATGTATAAGTAGTCAGACTGTAATAACTAGCAATCTTTTCTCATTCTACTTGGTTACTCCAACAAATCGCTATCTTTCCATGACGACAACCTGCGGTTGATGATGCTCGCATTCTTTAAACATTTTCTTGATGGCTTCTTCTTTCTCGTCGATGAAGTCGAAGAAGTTGTAGGCTACCTCACAACAACGGGTAGTTGTCGAGATATCAGATGGTGTAGCATTCTGCAACTCTCTATGTTTGTAGATAGCGAATTGCCGAATCATCTTTATCATGAATATTAGCAATGCAGCCAGAGTGACAATGCCACAGAGAAGGTATAGCCCCCAGAAGCTAATCAAATGTAGTTGGTTAGGCTCGCTTTTCCTCTGATGCTCTCCAGGGCATCCCTTCTTACAGAACCACCTATCATGGATTTCCTGAAGCTCTCCGCTCTCTGAAAGCTTCAGGATTGCTGTGGAAATGTCGATGGCGAGTGGAGAATCTTTCTGAAATGCCTGATTCAGAATTCAATCAATGGAGAGATAATTAGACTGGTGAGTGTACTGTGAGAAAGGCATGGTTTAGTAAGACAAGTTTGAGTTTCGCCGGTTGTCTTGAAATTGAAAAAACACTTTGTCAATACAACTCTTGTAAAAGTACTATTTATCTCAAATTCCACAGATTATTCAAATCTGAAAATAGCCTCACTAATAAAACTCACTAACCTATTCTCAATATATGTTCCAAGTCTTATGTTAGGAATGATCATTCTACAAACTCACCTGTTGCTTATTATTAAACAAACTGTCATCCCATCAATTTTTATAATAACAAAAGATATCCCATACCCATCAACTTAATTTTTTTTCTTAAAAACAACCTGACATTTTTACTTCACTACTAGTAAAACCTTGAAAAGAAAATGTCACTTATATTTTTATCAGAATGTAAAATAAACACACTCATGATGCATGGAAAGTTGTTTTTTGCAAGACAAGGTACACTTACAAAGCCCCATCCAGCCCTGGTGAAAGCTTGGCCAATGATTCCGAAATCTGTTCGATTTGCAAGGAACAGTTCTACATATGGAAGCTCATCTACTATGGCTGCAACTCCACCATTACTAGGTCCTTTCCTCAATGCAGCCTCATACTCTTCAGGGTTGTGCAGACGTTTGAGCCTAGATGGTGCTACATGGAGAGTTTCTGATAGATAGCCATAAGCAAATGAACCAACTTGGTATCCTACAGGCAAATTACTTGCAACCAAGCTATCGATTCCTGTAATGGGTGATGAAAGCTGTTGAACTGTGAGGATGGAAGTCAAACTGGCTGTGTAGCTTGCAGTTACTACCATCAGTAAGAAGAGCCATACTACCATGACCATCTTTCCAAGGGGACTTCTGGTTGTTTCCTCTGAAATCATGCCCACAGTAAAAAAAAAGTTAGTCAAACTTAAACAGGGTCCAAAGAACTTCCATGTGTATGGTGATTTCTGATGATGGATGAACAGGCATCGACTATAAAAGCGTCAGAAACTTAATCAGTTCTGAAATGACAAGTTCATTTGAAGATGTAACTAACAGGTGCTTAATTGGTTTGGCCAACCAAACCAGGCAATATATAACCAAAACCATTTATTTACGATAGTCGGTTATTACACAGTTTGCTGTTACGTTACCGGATTACAATCCTATAACCAAAACTCAATAAGATATAACTGATGCATTTATAGCAGTTTCCGGATAAGCAATACCATTTAACCTCCTTTAACCAGTTTCTAGATAACCAGAAAGCCAAAACTGACTTCCATCGTGTAAGAACATTATTCATGCAAGAAACCATATCTGGCTCAACTACATTCATCAGGATGACTTGTATCTATTTCATGTTGTCATTTTGAGCCTTAACATAAATGAAGCAAGTGTCAAAGTACTAGCTGAGCTTCTGAATTTCATCGCTAATTTGTAACTAAGAGAAGCCAAAGATCATATGTCAGCTAGGAAGAAAAGGAGCTGAAGCCATTAGAAGCAAGACTCACGATTTGTCTTGAACAGAGTAGAGAAGCTGAACCTGCCATAGTCAAGGTTGAGTGAGTTAGTTTTTAGTGTGTTGGGTGTCCATATGAATCAACAACTAAGGAAATTTAAGCAGACAAAGACATTACTTTGAAATAGATTCTTAAATGAAGCTTACATGAGCATCGTCACGATCTGACGTTTGGGAGGACCTCTGAAATCATCATTCACACGATGCTCGAGTAACCAAATGACCACAGCAATTATGAGAAAAGAAGCTGCTGTAACGCACCACATCTCCCAGGTAAATGGCTTAAGAAAAACCCATGCATTTGCTTTCAAGTTTCTGACTGGAGCCACAACCACGAGGCCTGTAGCCACATAAGGTTGAGAGAAGTCTACTATCTTTGTTCGGTTCGTCACTATTGCAATGTCCCCAACAGCTGCATCAAACACCTGAACACCAAATATAAGACTGAACTTAATGCTTGTTCCCAAAGTAAGCAAAGAACGTGCAAATGAAAATGCACCAAAATATGTTCACTATACGCACTTACATTTCCTGCAACTTTGCTTACAAGGTCATCGTAGCTAGGGTTCGAATGGCCATCCCCGAAAGGAACAAATGTGTAAGGTACATCATATGACACTAATTTCCTTGCTTCCAGAAACACATCTATACAGTATCCTTCAATTTTATGGCTATTAGGCGTAACTTCTGTAACAAAATCAACAAAGCTTGTTCTGTTGGGCACTCCGATTCTCAGAGGCTTTTCATTGTTAGCAATCACCCAGCCACGAGGTTTTTCGGTTTTCCCACCTGGCCAGGTGACGCTCCGAAGCTCCATATTTAGCCGAGTATAGCTACTTTCTTCTCTGCGATCTTCTGGAGGTACAAGCGAAAATCCGGAAGTATTCGCCCAGAACCCGACTGTCCGAATAGACATGTCGTTAATATTAATGACATCGTAACCACGGTTCAATACTTTTCGTCCAGATTTAAACCGAACTTGACCACTTAAACCGGTGAAATTCATCTGCAGTATGATTTTAAGCAAATCAGCTCCACCATTGAAAACTTTAAGCTGCCCCAGCTGGAAGTGAGATTTATCTTCATCAACAAGTCTATCTCTGGCAGAGAAAGTGAAGTTGTCAGCTTCATTGATAAACCTATCGATTGCGTATGCAAGTAGCCAAACAGTATCATAAGCCTGCAGCGCATAGGAATTCAGCTCTGTAGTTACTAATCCCTTTCTTTGCATTTCCTTCCACCGAGACATGAAAGCATTCTTCTGGTTTGACTCGGGGGTATGTTGACGAAGCCCAACAACCCCTTGAAGAAAACTGAGAGCAGATCGCTGTGCTGGAGTGAATGAATCCAAGGTAGTAGCTAGCCAATCTGTTGCAAGCCATACAAAATTGGTTGTCATCATTTGAAGCTTCTGGGCCGCCTTGAAGATTCTCAAGTCAGGATCTTGATAAGAATGAACGATGTAAACACGAGGACCAAGTAACTTTGTGTTGTTGAGGACATCCATGACATCATTGTCAGTGAACCGGGCTCTTAACCGCTTCTTGGAAGCAATCTTTATCATTCTTTGATTCAGTTGATCCTCCAGGGCAGCTACCCCATTTCTGCCGTGGTCATTGTCTGTAAAGATCACAATGACCTCTTTCCACTCATAGAATTCGACTAAATCAGCCAAGGCAGCCATCTGATAAGAATCACTTAGTGTTGTTCGTACAAAATAGGGGAATTGAAGGGCAGAGAGAGTTGGATCAGTAGCAGCATATGAAATAAGAGGCACTTGTAAACCATTTGCAACTTCAGAAATCATATGAGCTATTCCTGATGATTGTGGACCGATTATGGCAACCACTTGTCTCTCTATCATGCGAAGAGCTGAAAGAAGGAAAGTTGAAAATCAGAGGAAGTAGCCACAAGCAAGAACACTAATGAAAAGCACAGAGAAACGTCAAAGTCGTGTCCTTGATTGTATGTTTAAGAGCAGATGAATTAACAAACTATAACAAAAAAAGATGGACAGGAAAATGGGAGTGTGGAACCATGAAAACCCAATCAATTGCACAAAGAACACACTTAAATTTTCCACCGGTTAATAAGATGCTTTTAGAACCAGAAAGAAGAGTTACAACAAAGTGGTGTCAACTCAAAAAATGATAGCCATAAACCAACAGAAAGAGAGCGTTCAATTGAAGGTTACCTACAACGGAGCCAAAGAAGACACTGCAATTAGCATCCTCCATCATCAAATTGAGCTTGGTCCCATTAAGAACCTTCGTATCCTTATTAACATCAGCAAGTGCTGCCTCTATGGCTGGCCTTGCAGCTCTCCCAATGACGGACTCAAAAGTAAAAACCGCACCAACGTTCACAACCGCCGGCCTCTGACTATCAACTAAGCCAGAGTTAAGGACCACCCACACGAGAACAAGTATTGTAGCTCTAATACCCAGCTCCATTTTCACAAACACCTGGTCTGCACTACCAAAATTCCGGATAAAGCTGCTAGCTTTGAGAGCTAAGGTTGTATAAAAATCAGATACAGTTGGACAAAAACTCGGTTCCTAAACAACCAAGCTGGTAAATTTAGCAGCAGGGGGTGGAGATACCGAGACAATGATGGGTACGACCCAAAGAGTAGAAAGATTGAGTCTTTCCTCAATAAAGGAAGCAGCGGTGTTGCCCATGCCAAAGATTTAGAGTCGTCAAGAGAGGGAAAAGTCAAGCTAGCAGCTCTAATGTACTAAGTAATCACACGAGGACTAAGAGAAGTTGACTCCTGGAGTATTCTAGGATGGAATTTATGACGACAACAGTGAGTTGGTGAACTGTGGGACTAATTAGACCAGCTCTCACTAATCCCAATTTCTGAAGCGCGGAATTTAATTCAAGTTTCACCAACCGATTACAGAACAGTGGGGGAGGGAATTAGGCTCTCAAGCAGCCTTGACCCACAGGGAGTAAAGAAATGGGGAAGAATTGAAACGATAATCACATTCTTTCCTAAGAGAGAATAGTGAAGAAGAACAGGGGATGGGGGTTGGAAATTGTTGGCCGCAAACCTTAGTGGGAGGAGAAAAGCATATTTAGTTGAGAAAAAGGAAAGGAAATTGGATTGAAGTGGAAAGGGAGAAGATTATTCTTTCTCCTTCGCCCACTTGGACGTAAAAATAGTAAAATACCTTTTGGGCTGTGTGGTGACTGGTGACTGGTGACTGGTGGTGGGAAAATGATAGATTTGGGAGGATTGGCATTTGGCCAAGACTTCGCCGGCTGAATTGTATTTGTCCTAGTGATCACTGAAGTTAGGTGCGTATTCATTTTGATCCGTATAATTGATTGCTTAATGGCAGTAGTAAACGCTGGACTAATCCTTTCTTAGTTTCATTCATTAAAGCTCATCCACATATATGATCGTGTAGCAACTATGGAATTATGGTCTTTGAAGAGGACAACATCTGCAATATGGCCGAGATCCAATTGTGCATATGTATGTGATGTGGTTAGTGATGACATGAATTTTGAACCTACAAAGGAGCATAGACAGTTAGGAGATTGTAAGGCATATTGTATCGTTAACAAATTGGTTGTTAGGAGTTGTGTTATTGTTGAAGAAAAAGAGAAAGTATATCGTTGATGTCAGGGTTGTAGGCGACGTTGAGTTTTTTTTTTTTTTTAGTGTTGGGCACCGGGGTTGGTAGACGGTTACCTTTCACCTCGAACTACTCTCGTGGTGTTAGGTTTGGTTATCTCTTGCAAAATGACTGTCGACCGATCTTGGCATGGTTGCTCTCTGAACTCTGAAGCTCAAGTTAGACCGTGGTTTGGAAAAGTGAAATATGGTCTCAAAACGAAACATGAGGGAAGGAAGTTAAAAGTGAATATCTTTGTTAATCATAGTGGGAATTTACGAGTCTATGCATGAGGATTTTTGCTTACCTTAATCGGAGACAAGGTGGGCTTTTATAGCAGTCACTCGGCAATCATGAACGGGGTTAGGTGTCTTTCTATGGGATCTCGGGGGTAAGGAGAAGACACATTATGGGAATATGTGGTCAAGGGTGTTGGATGACCTGGGGTGACTGACCCAGGGGTGGCCTGAGTGACCCGGGGTTGCCAGAGTGACCTGGGTGATCAAAGTAACCCAGGGTTATAGACCCCAAGGGTGGCCGATCCCGAGGACGACCAGTGTGACTCGGAGTTATTGAACCCAGGAGTGGCCGGATTGATCATGGGGTGGGCAAGGTGAACCGGGGGTCACCGGAGTGAACGGGGGGTCATCGGAGTGACCCGTGTAATGGACCCAGAGGTGGCCGAGGTGCCCGTGGTGATTGACCCCTAGAGTAGGCGGAGTGACCCAAGATTATGAACCCTAATGGTGGTCGGAGTGACTTCGATGTGGCCCAAGGTGATCAACCCCGAGCTTGGTCGGAGTGACCACGAAGTGGCCAAGGCAACTCAGGGTCATCTGCAGGCTTGGTCTGAATGACCTCAAGTGTCCGTGAGTGAACGGTGATTGTTGCTAAGTAGGTTCTATCTAGGAACATTTTCATCAAATTAAAATCTTTTAATTTGGGGTTCATCAATTGCCCCCTTTTTCAGTGTAAATATTTAATGACGAGACTTCACGGCAAGAACCACATTTATTGTTGGGCTCTCAGAAACCCTTGGCAAGAGAATGAACCAATTCTGATCCATGTATTTCAATGGATAAAAATGATGTACCAATCTTAGTTTGTGAGTTTGAAGCTATTATAGACTAAATCAATTTTGGATTTTGAGATATGTATATTAAAACATCGAACCAATTTTTACATGTAGAACTTGAAGTGTGGATTTGAGTCGATAGCGGTCCATGCATGGGAGTTTCTGAGCTAATGTTAGTTCATTATACGGTTGGTGGTCAACCAATTGTGAGTCACATATGTAAAGAACGAACAAATCGTAGCTCGTTAAGTGGAGTGGATTTGAACTGATATTAGATCAATCTTGGCCCATTTGAATGGGGATAATGTAACAATGTTGTTCATGAATGGAAAGAACAAATTTTGTTCATGCATTAAGTGGATGTACCAATCTTGGCATCAAATAAACCTCAATATGGGTTCTAGCCATATATATAATTCTCGTTAGATCTATGACATTGTATTCGACATTTCTTTTATTTTTTCAACATTATCATTGTAATTTTTTATAGAATTATCTTTGTCTGATATTTCCACCAAGATTACGTTTGCTTCCCACGTGGGCATATTTTGACAGTGATAATGGTGTCTATGACAGTCGGGGTGACACCAATATTGATGATAACACCAAGATGACAACACTAAGTGAAAAGCATGATTCTATGTAGAAGTACTTTGATGACCTAGAAGTGTAAAAGCATAAGCTTTATAACTTTAAAACTCGATTTTGACTACATTGTTGTAAGGTATTGAAGTTTTATCTAAACTCTAGTGCAATGGTTAAGAGATAGACTCTTGACCCAACTCCAATGCAACATTTGGAAAATTACACTTCACTCAACTGTTAAGTGTAATGGTTGAGTGTTGACTCTCCCCCAATCGTGAAGTCCAATTTAGAATATTAACCATTATTGCAATGATAGTAGGTGAATAACAAATATAAGCATACAAAATTAACCTCTCACCCAAAATTTATGTGCAATGATTGGGTTGATAGCACATGGATTTTAATGGATGTGATAAAATAACAATAGAGTCACTAAATCTAATAGACACAAGTAAATAACAATCAAAATAACCCTACTCTTTATATTTCTTCACCTCTAGGTGAGAAGGTTGAGGGGAGTGATGATTAGGCAGTGATTAGATACCTTTTGAATGTGTTAATGTATTATTCGTAGATATTGAAGTTGTTGGGAAATTCTTTGAGAACTTGTAATCTTGGGAAATTGAGTTGGTATTGTGAGAGGACAATGTTGTCCCCTTGGTGAGATGACATCATATGGGAGGTGAGAAAGTGCATATTCATGATCACCAAGGAGGTCACCGATCGAATTATTATCGTCAATGACCACAAAAATTATTGGAAATGGTGAGAGGGGCACAACTATTTTTAAGTAAAGGTGATCGAGAGGTCATGTGTGGCGACGAGAGAAGTGACCATGGTGAAAATCATGAATATGGTTGGAGATTCTCTCTAGCTATTACATGAAGGCTCACCTTATAAAAGAGTATGTGATCACCAATGTAATCATGAAGGGGGGTACGTATCTTCCTCTAGGAGCTCGGGGTAAGGATAAGACACGTCACGAGAGTATGTGGCCAAGGATGCTAGGTAACCTGGGGTGACTAACCCCAAGGGTGGTCAGAGTGACCTCGGAGTGGGCAAGGTGACCTGCAGTTATGGACCCCAGTGGTGGCCAGAGTGACCCGGGGTTATAGACTCCAAGGGTGGCCACGGTGACCTAGATTTATGGAGTTGGGGAGTGACTAGAGTGATCCCAAGGTCGCCAAGGTGACCCAAGGGTGGGCGGAGTGACCTTAGGGTGACCAAGGTTACCCGGGGTTATGGACCCCGGGGGTGGGCGGAGTAAACCATGTGTGGCCAAGATGACTCAGGGTGATCAATCGGGGGCTTGGGAGGGATGACTTAAGGTGTCCTGATGTGATCGTAGAGGATTGCTGCATAAGGTCAATCTGGGAACATTTTTGTCAATTTTTTTTGGGGTCCATCATATATAGAAGAAAAGAAAGAGAAATTGGTTTGACATATAAGTTATTTTAGGTGACAATGGAGAGGGTAAATGACTCGCACGAAACTACATCACAATAAAATCCCAACTAGAGCCTACCCTAGTCAGGTGCAGTATGGGGCAAGAATTTAGATATCGACCCGAGCCGGTCCGTCTACCCCCACTTCAGTTGTTGGAATCATTATCTAGCAACAAAGTTTTGTTTTAAAAGTTTACTAATTAAAATAAAAGAAGGCAAAAGTAAATGGTTTTGGAAACTCTTTTGTGGAAGGGTCACTCGGGTGTCGCTTCCCCCTAACCGCTACCATGATATGTGAATTGGAACGATTGCATTGGGTACGGTAATCGCGAACCGCAGAGGGATGCATATATGATCGGAGACCACAATCTCAATTGCTAAATCGAGGTAAGCTTGAAAGGCCGTGTCACGCGACCCTCTCGGTTTAGACAATCGGTAATTGACTTACTCCCTCACTCAACTCAAAGGTCGGACGGCTTAATCGAGATTAATCGACTTGCTTAACTCAACATTGAGGGTCGCCCTAACTTAGCCTAGTTAGGTGGCTTAGAAAGCGGAAGGAAAACCAACTCAATTGAGTCTCCCTTGGAAGGGGGATTTCCCTCTCTAAGCTAAGCTAAGGTGGCTAGTTAGATTGATAGCACCAACATGCACAAACCTAAGGGTGCTAAGCACAATTATTCACAATCCTTAGGTTGCTAAGCATCAAAATGCACAAACCT